CGTGAAGTCCGAGTTTTATTTCTTAAATTATATTTTCTCAAAGAACAATGTCTTTTTGCTTGAAAAGCTTGCTACATAAAGTAGCAGGTTGTAAGTAAGCTTGAAATTCAAGCAATGAAAACAAAACTATCTTATAAATTTTAATTGTGTGGAAGTTTATGCATCATGGATCTTAGTCGTGGTCTTATTCGACTTCTTTTGCTGAAATATACGTTTTTAAGCGGAAAACTTTCGTCATTTCTTTTGTGATTGGACAGGAGACATGACCTAAGTTCTGTACCGAGTAGTATTTTTTTGCCAAAAGCTATTTTCCTCGCATTATTAAAATCAACCATAGTTCTAATGGGCTGCTTTTTATGACATATTACTATATGACTTCACCTACCTGCTTTGTGATGCATCTCCCCAGAATTGGGTTGCATTTATGTAAAAATTTTTTAATGGAACTGCGGGTAAAGTTCTTTTCCTTAAAAAATTGAAAGGACGAAAAGATTCAAAATATAAATAATGGAGTTCTAAATAACACAACTGCAATTTTGACTTGGTTGAAAAATACTTGAGTATCCTCTGTTTATAAGACAAGCATCTTAAGGAATGTACAATCCAAGTGCTATTCATTTTTCTCTACTGTGCGAGATGGAACACGGTGATAGATTAGCTGAAGACAGAGTATAAGAGGGCAAGGATTTCTAATCAGAAGGACATTACACCTAATTGAAAGAGTGACTGTCAATTAGCGCAATTTAGCAGGAGTTTTTTTCCTTAAAACATCAGCACTTTTCCCACACAAACATAAAGCTGAGCTTTAGCATATTACGGCATATAAACTCAGTTGGAGGAAAATTCCGAAAATTCCAATTTGTACCTAGAAAGCCTAGTTTTTGCTTTTGCAAAGATTTACTTAGTTAGAATTACTCAATTGGAATTGCAAAGATATACGAGTATTGCATTTTTTATCGGGCGCATTCTTTCCACGCTCTCTATTGTTTTCCCACCTGTTGAAGTTTTTCTCGAGTAAAAAAACGTTTCTTATGAGTGTGATTTGTTAAGTAGAGCGAGTTTTAATTACGAATTCTTCTCGTTTCAGATAGTGTCTGTACCCAGCAATAACGATGGTTAAGTGATGTGGTTGGGCTTTGTGTATTTGACACAGGTAGCTTTTGCTTTAAAATATTATCTACTTTCCCGTTTTCTTCTAAAAATTGCTTGTTTGCTGAATTATGATTTGTACTCAATAAGTCGATAACATATTTTTAATATCTTATCTTATAGCGCATTTTGACCGGGTTTCTCCGATGTTTTCGGGAAATTTCAATTAAAGCCAGAAATTGTCTTATCTTTCAGATGATAGGCTTACTTTATTTTATTACAGTTGTGTGAACCATTCATCATTACTACTGCGTCGGTTTTGTACTATTTAGTTAGGTATAATGAAACAATTCATATGATAAGACTGGTTTTTGTGAAAAACTAATCTCGATGGAAAGCAATACTGCGGTAATTTTATTTTGTTCGTTGAAAAATTGATTAAATCGATACTCTCAAAATTTATTAAAACGTACAATATATCTTCTTCGAAAAACCTTTTGCCCACTTCTGCATAATTTTGAAAATCGATAAATATGCAAGGCAAATTCGTAATATTAAGGTATCTGCTTTTTTGAGCCTTCTGAAATAATGCATAAGGTATAAGGCGATGCAGATGGTATATGAAGGGTAAAAAGTAGAATTTAAGGACCAATTCTTTGTAAATGTAACCTGGACTGCTTATTGTTGGTTCTTACTGTAGAAGACTCTGGAAATGTCATCGCAAGGATTGCGCAAGATATCTAAAGCCACGTCTACATAGAGAGTTTGCGAATGGGTATCGTGGGAGTCGTAGATGCGACTAAAAGCTCTGTCGTCAGCGATAGCGATGCCACACAGAGAGAAGACCGCTATTTTGCATATCCCTTTTTACGTTGCCTTTTGAGCAGTTGAGTTATGAAGATTTATCACCAACGTCAAATTTCAGCTAAAAATCGGGAAACGAAAACGATATGATGAATAGTTGTTAGCTGTTCGCTAATTTTAGATTAGTACTTGAAAAGTGCAAAAACTATGAGATTTGTGGAAAAAATCAATAGCTATGAATTAGGAAGCCGCTTGACTAACACATACAACTTTAAATGCTTGAAAAACCTTTTAGAATCAGAATTTTTTCGGCTTATTCTTACAAAAATAGGCCCAATAAGGTCATGAAGGTCGTTGGCGCTGAAATCTCTCCTCAAATTGCACTCTTTGATGTTCCCGTTTGATCCTTACTTCCTAAGTTGGCAAATCCTATGAGCTTTCATGTATAGGTGCAAGTGATGCGTGTTCAGGTGCCCATTATTATGACTGAGGCTTTGGCCTCGAGACAAAAGAGACGTTGCTCGTTGAGAGCATCGCTCGCCTGCCATTCCGACTATGTGATAAACAGCGAAGATTTGTTTTTAGTAGACAATCGCGTTCAACTTAGAGAAAACTTGTGGGATGCGAATGCCCTTAAATGCTTCTTCTTCCTTTTCCAGTTATGGTCACTCACATCTGCTCTTGGATGGGCAGGATGGTCGCCGTGGACGCCATGCAGCAGAACGGTAGGTGTAGCGAATTACTTACGCATGGTGAGAACTGGGTCCGTTGGGACAATAGGTCGAAAGGCTGGAGTAGCGAAGAGAGCGGCTATGAATAGGAACTGGAGTAGGCCAAAAACTCCCTAGGTGTTTCTTTTGAGAAAACGTGATGTGCATCGTAGAGCACGTGAGCGAGTGAATGAGTTATAACTGGCAGGGAGAGAATACTCCAGTTTTCGCTCGATCAGCTCATACTCGACTTAGATGGATAGATTAGTGCGAAATGAGCTTAGTTGCTCAAAAATTATAAGGACGGAAAATTCCCTACCAAATCTTCTTTCATCTTCGCAGAAACTCTTCGCAGTGAAACTACATATAAATATTTTTAGCTTTCTTTAGATACACTCATTCATAGACTTTTTGATGTAAGAATCTTGTACCTTTATTTACGTTAAGAAGGTACTCTGATTTAGCCGAACTTAAGCGCAAATTTATCCCAAATCTACATGCAAAAAAATAATTGGAGTCAACATTTTACCTAAACCTCTTAGCATCTTCAAAGTGCAAAATTTTTCTAAAGGCTAGGTTGAGTTTTCGTATATGTTCTGTGTTTGAACCATATTGTATGCTCGAAGCAGCGGGACTATCAGATGTGGCTGTAGCAGCTTCCTCAAATTCTACGAGGGTCTAGTTTTGTCCAAGGAGTGACTCACTCAACAGGAGTAAGCGTTCTTCAACCTTATCATAGCAAGCTCGATGCATTATCAGTAAGCACATTGACAGCAAAAAATCTGCAAATTTGAAAGAAATAAAATTCAAACACTTCAAAAAACGTTGCATGTAAACTCTTCAACCCTAGACACTATCGGTAAGGTTAGAGATTTGATAGTCAATTTAGTTATCAGGCTGTGCACAGTTCTTTTTGCAAAAAATGAGTTTACAAAATCTTCTTGGAGTCTCGAGTTTCTATCGCAAATAATAAAACAGATCGCTTCGGTTAAAGGTGTCACATGGGAATGAATGTTTGATTGATAACCCTTATTTCCAACCTTTTCTAGGCCTCAATTACTTATTTTAAAGTTCTAGATTGAAGTTAGATTTTTATTCATAGGCGCGTATCTCATCTTTTTTTCGTTACTGTAAATTACCATCAAATTTTAAATGTTGCTCTAGCTTTGGCTTTAAAACTCAATTGGCATTGGGCCGAAGATAGCTTTAACAACGCTAGTTTTGTTTAGCGGGGTCATTCAATACACTGAACCGGATTATGTATGACAATCATTCAATGTTATAATTTGGTAGGTTGCGATAGGTGTTTTTAGCCAGCTGCTGCTCCGATGTAGGACGGCATACAACTCTAGACACTTACAATACCGTAATGGAGAGAGATTCACTATCCACTTGAAGATGAAAATACAAATTCAAAAAAGCTTGAAAAAAATTATTAGCAGTCAAGATGAAACGGATTTTGGCACTCTGTGAAGTTTGTTTCTCAATCCTAGAAGAAACTTGTTTTGCGCACGCTTCCAAACGTTTGCGCTTTTCTCTCAAGTAATCTCGATCAAATTGCTTCATTAACTATCAAAATTAAATTTTCAATCTCATGATTATCTGCTATGCTTTATGTGGATTAGGAAAAAAATTGACAGTTTTATCTAACAAATAAGGCTATCATTTTCTACAAGTTTGACCCTTTAAGTCGTTTAGTGGTTTCTTCGTTTAAAGAGTCCTTTTAGCTCGAAACGTGAGTTTCTTCGTTCTCAATGAGCTACTGCATTTGAAAAATCCGCTAAAATTTAGCATTCTTCTGGTATTCGCCTAAAGAATGTCCCTATATCGATTGGTGTACCATGATCCCTAGACGTCTTTTCTCACAATTTAGCAGAGTTCCTCCAATAGCTTGCTAATTGTGAGGTGCTCGTATTCAACCCTATTTATTGAAGAGACCTTGTGTTTCTTAAAATTTATGTGGGAAACACCAATCAAATTCAACCAGAGATAACTCTGCAAACTTCTATTTGAAATATAAAACATTGATTTTTTGCTCGACTCATTCTTGCTCCTTCCATCGAAACAATTCAATGCTATTTGCCTATCAAACAGATGCCTTTTTCTATTAATAAACTGTTTTAGTGTTTCTTTGATCGGCTTTTGCCAGATATCCATGCATTCCCGGTATAGCGAAGTCAGTAATGAGAATTGTGCACCGCTGCAGTTGGCTGTGATCTCGTAATCACTCATTTATGACTTTTTTAGAATGGGTATTTGATTTTTCCATTAGTGACTAACGTCTGATCCTGCCGTATGGAGCTGTAAGCTTGAAATCCCTCATGTAGATTTACTCAAAGTTACCTTGCGTTAGCGCGAATTCATAAGAATTCTCTTACAAATTGCTCAGTCCCAGCCTGTAAATCCTCCTCTGCAAGTTGCACAAACATATTTTTGATAATTAGTTCAAAATATTTCTTACTTCAGTGCGGTGGCGGCGTATCGCAACAACTTCGTAGATGCCTCGACATTAAGTGCTCCGGTCATTCCGTAAGATTCAAAGTGTGCAATGAACAGGTAAGGGTATCAAATCTATGAAAAGTTCTTGCGAAGCTCAGTCTTCTCTTTCCCACAAGCAGAAATGTACGAGAATTATCTGAGCCTAACGGAGAACTTTGCGAACTCGCATCTTTTTTACTAATCATTTTCAGATCTTCTTGAAATTTAAATATGACAAATGATTGTGAATGTGATTATGGACTAAATGAAGTGTATTTCATAGAATTGAATAGCTGCCAATACACTTTTCAATATTCTTATGCTCAATCGCACTCCCAGCAAAGTTTCAATGCTAGTTTGAAGATGGAGCAAAATATGATACTTTTTCTTTCAGGAATGCGGTACATTGCAGCGGACATCGAGAGAGACTGTTTGTGGAGGAGAAGAAATTCTCTCTAAACAGCAGGTAATAAGTAACTTTTTTCTTAGCTGATTCAATTTTGCAAATTACCTTGCATCTCAATTTGTTATTTATTCAAAATAACGCGATTGATGAAACGTTACCGCAGTCTCACAGCAAAAAACCGATACTGTAAGCGATAAGCCATTTTGAAAAGAAAGCTAGTATATTTAGTAGGTTTTCTAAGTTAATAAAAGTTTTTAGTTTGATTAGTAGGATTAGCTTTTGTGAAGCTAAGGGATTTTGTGGGTATTACTTAACATTGCTCCACAGTTGTTGTTTTACTATTAGAATAAGTTGAAAGTAGCAAACCTACCTAATTCAGTTTTACTTGAATTCCTGTGTAATAAGTATTCACGTATCTCTCAACTAACTCTCATCACTCGTTTCCAAAACATGGCTGCGGCAAAAATGCATGCGATCTCGTTTTGAACTTAAAAATAATCTGAATTTTTTATTACGAAAGTGACAATTGAGGGGATCAAGTGTTAGCCAAGGAACACCTGAGCAGGACTTCCCCACCCACTTCCTGGATTTTCTAACATTTGCTTCGTCACGTTTGGGCGCGCGTCATAAATATTGCTGTGGTTCCGGTTTCC